GTTCTAAATAAACTTAATGGATGTCAGAATCAAAAGAGGAGGGATCTTCATAATGACTCACTAACATGGTAGCTGGGAGCTGTGGCTGGCTTCTTCCTCCTTGGGTTCATGCTCTCTCCTTGGGTTCATGCTCTCTCCCTGGGTTCATGCTCTCTCCCTGGGTTCATGCTCTCTCCCTGGGTTCATGCTCTCTCCTTGGATTCCTATTCTCTCCCTGGGTTCCTGTTCTCTCCTTGGGTTCCTATTCTCTCCCTGGGTTCATGCTCTCTCCTTGGGTTCATGCCCTCCTCATGTGGCAAGGGCATTTAGTGATCTCCTGACAAGTCCTGACTCTCTTATGGCAACAGAAGGACAGCCAGCAGTGAGGCTCATGGCTGCAGCAAAGGGGAGAAGCTTTGGAGAGCTGGCTTCTGGCTTGAGTATGAAATGGTAGCTGCTGGGAATGCATGGCAAATATCTGGGTGTTACAGAATGTGAGTGTAGGGTTGTGTGCGTGGTTGGTATAGAATGTGAGGGTGAAATGGAACACTGCAGACTCTGTGAGTCTTGTATGTGCTGACTTTAAAGTTAAACAAGTAATTTGGGCCTGTTGGGAGCATGGCTAAATGGATGACCTTAGATTACCTGTCATTTTTCTCTTAGCCATGGCTGTTCTTAATATTTCTCTCTTTCATTATTTTTTTTCTAAAGGCCTGGTATGGGAGGTTTGATCTCTTGCCAGGTAGCCTAGCGGGAATGCTCTGTTCAGTTACGCAAGAAGCAAGGATTTGATCCCTACCTCCTGTTACCATGCTTGTAGGAACACCCGTGGTAGAAATAAAAGCATTAGCCTGGAGCCACAGTGCTGTGCTCCCACAGCTCTCACATGGGCAGCCAGCTCAGCCCCACTCAGGACTGTCGGGGCTGGGGGTGCTCTGGCAGCCTGGAAAGGAGCCACAGAATAAAAGAATGTGGATGGAACACTGCCGTCATCTGTGCTCCCCTCCAGGGACTTCCTACTCTTTGTGGTGTATTTTTTGTTACTATTGTTTCACTGATATACCTTTGTTTCAGAAACATGCCTTTTTTTTTTTTTTTTTTTTTTTTTTTTTAAAGTCAACAAAAGTTATTACTGTGAGTATGCAAACTTGTGTAGATGCAATGTGAAGAATGGCACTTTGGAGGTCACAGCTGAGAGTCTTCCCAGCAACACTTAAGACCGGGAATTTTGCAGTCCAGCTTTTCCTTACCAACCAGTTCAAGGTGCATCAGCAACACTGGTTCAGTCACTCATACAAAGAGGTACCGTTTTAACCTGTGCCAGTAATACAAAAGTCTTTTAATACTCATGCATACACTGAAGAAGTTGCATTTTTGTAGTTTATTGGGGGGTGGGTCCCAACATTGCCTGAGTGCTTCAGCCTGAGCCCTACATGAAACACCATGGCACGCTGTGCCCTAGAGAACTTACAGTCTGATGGCAGTCAGAAGGGCTCTGGCACCCATGAAAAACAAGTAATGCAATCCTGGTGAGTGATGTTTAAAGCTGTGACTCCAGGACTGAGCAGTAGGCTTGGATGATAGGGGAGAAAGTGTAGAAGCAGAAGGGGTTGAGGAGGAGGAGAAACAAGAGCAGCAGTACAGATATGGTACTTCTATCAACTTCAGGTTCTAGTCTGTTCCACTCCACTCCATTTTACCCCAAAGCCCCACTTCTAGGGGAAGAGGAAAGCCACATGTTTGTGAGGTGTGTGGGAAAAGTGTCTCCAGATACCTGAGTCAGAAGAAAGCTTGTGCAAAAGGAAAGGGGGCTGCACTTGGCCCTTATTTTATCCACCTGCAGTAAGAATACCTCAGAGGTAATACAGGCATTCATGTGACAGTTAGAGCATCTATATGCCATGGGGAAATAAAGGTACTTCACATTTTACTTTTCCCTCACAAATGACTAAACGCTGTTTAGCTTTGTTTTGTTTCAACATCTTGTGAGCATATACTGATCGCTAGTGTGCACTCAGACGAGGAGCTAATTGTCACCAGACACAGAACAGGGGACAGAGTTCCTGCCTGTTCTTCTAAGGCAACGCTACAAGCAAAGCATTAGAGTCAGACCTGGAACAAAATCTGAGCTCCAAACAATTCTAAAGGTTAGGTGAGCTCTACCCTACATCCAACTGCAATAGCAAAACACCCCTCAGATCTGAAAACCCCCAAAGCAAGAGGGATGTCTGGAGTAAGAGCTGATCTGTGTTCTGACCTTGTGCAAAAGCAACTCAGACAGTTCTGCCTGAATGTTTGACAAATGCTGTTCAACAGACTACAAGAATTTCCAGCACCTTCAAAACACAACCACAGCAGCACTCTGTATTCTCCTCACCTTTTCTTTTCACATTTTTCCTTCAGGTTCTGAGTTTTGTTATTAAATTTTGGTATAAAACATTAAAATAAATACGAAGCAGCAACATTTTCTAAAAATATCAAAGATGAAAAAATATTATTGTTTCCCTTTTTCTAGTGAGAAAAGTGAGGCACTAATTACCAGCCCAAGGTGACTTTGCTCAGTACAAGATAACAAAAGAAAGAGCAAGTTAATTTAATGTTTTGAAGGTTGAGTGTTTTGGTTTGCCTTTTTTTTTTTTTTTTTCTTTTACTTTTGAAAAAGCACTCTGGTGGAAAAATGCAGCTTCAGAAATGTGAAAATGAGTTCAAATACAATGTGAATCTAAAAGGGTTGGCTGCTACACACAAATTTGTGGCTGTGACACAACAATAGATGAGTGATCGGTTTGTGTGTAGATAATTGCAGTGGGTCTAGCCTACAGGAAAAAAATGCTTTTATGCAAGAGTTCTGGACAGGGTGGAAGCACTTGAATATTGTAATGATGGAAAAGCTAACAGACAAAAGAAGACTCTAGACAGTAGTGCTCCTTTTGTTGGAGGAGAAAAATACTGTGTGCGACTCTTTGTTGGCTGAAACTTGCCAATGCAAGGCAATGCAGGGTGAGCTTGGCAGTCACAGGTGCCACTCGGCTCCCTGAGATTCCACTTGCTGAACTAAAAGGGTCCTGTCCTCAGAACCACCAAAAACAGCCAGTGAAAGGTTATGAAATGTATCCAGTAAATATTTTTCTGGAGAGAGAATAAACTGTGTCCAGTACTCCACTGGCTGGGAATGGTGTTGCTCCATCTCCGTTAGCCAGTTCCATGAGCCAAGCCATGCAGCTGGATAGAGACTGGTGCCTTTGCAGTTGAATTAAACACTGTCAAGCAGCTGCTCTCCTGATTTGCCTCCAGACTCTTTCTGCGCTCTTGTCCACACCTGCTTGTGCCTGGTTAGACACATCTTGCTAGCACAGGATATATCAAAGAGGTTTGATATATGACAGCATTACCCAGGAGTTCACAAGCATTTACAGCCTCTCACCCACTACCAGGATCTTCCTAGCGCTTTGTCCAGTCCAGTGCTACCCTGCTATTGCTTCTCACCCAGGCCTTGCTGTATCCCTGCTGCTCTGCCCACCCAGCCTAAGATCCAGTCTTTCTTTTCTCTCTCTGTTAGCTCTCTTTTTGTCCTTTAATGATGGATTTTGTAAACCTGCCAGATCCTCTTCCTCAGGTTGGGCGGGGGACACGGGAAGGGACTGTGTCAGCCTGCCATCACGTCTTGCTTTCTCTTGAGTTTTGTAAATGGTTTGAAATGGATTTCACCAAGCAGCAAAGAGCATTTGGAGGGCTTTCCATCAGCAGTATATAAATAAAAATGGATAAGAATAGATTGGATTGTTGCTTCTTACGTCCGCTTCCCCATTTTATTTTTGACAGGTCCCAACACCCACACACACACTCCTTACTCAGACTCAGATAGATCTGATTTTTTATCTGCTTTGAGTTTTTTGGCAGGATTTTCCATTCCTCATAGAGAGTTTCAATAGTTCCCACCTTGGTCCTTAGTGCTCAGAACTTGTGCCCTTATGCTTTCTGTACTTACAGGTCTTAGCAGGCCCATCATTAAAACATCACAAGGGCAAGAACTGCACCTCCTGAAGGCTCTGAAGCAGGAAAGCTGCTGCTGGCTACTGATCTCCTTTGCAATTCCACTGGGTCCAACATCACTCCCCTACTTCAGTCTGCACTTCCAACTGCACAGGAGTGGAACCGAGCAAACAATCTGCAACAGGTAATTTATGTAATGAATTTACCCTTTTCCCCTGAGCTGAATATGCATGAGTGGGTGCTGATGTCTTCAAGTGCATTCCCTGTTTGAAGAGGCTTGCCTTGTTTTTTTCCCCTGTTAAAGCACCGCTTTTAATGCTACGTATCAATCATGAGTGTTCCCTGGTGCATCCAAAAGCTGGTATTTGCTATTCAAATGGTGTGAAGTTGTAACTGTTTACATAAGTTTTGAGAAATTGTTTCTGATCCTGAAGTGGAAAGCATTAAAATACCTCTGTCATGTGCAGCACACAGCCCTTCAAAGTGTGGATTTAATGTTTACAGATGTGCTCTCCCAATTCATTTTTCATGAGCGTTTGTGCCGGGAGACCTTGGTTGTTGGAATGTGTGCACAAAGGGAAGCGTGAAAGCAACACAATAACAAACAAGTGCAACATTCTTAAAAATTCTGTATTTGTTAAATCAACGTTTAGAAGGTTCTGGATTGGAAGGAAGACTATGAGGAGCAGCTGAGGGCACTTGGGTCGTTCAGTCTGGAGAAGACTGAGGGGACACTTTATGGTGGTGTTCAATTTCTCTGCGAGAGGAACAGGGGCAGGCACTGATCTCCTCTCTGTGCTGACAGTGACAGGAGCCGAGGGAATGACCCGGAGCTGGGCCAGGGCAGGTTTAGGGGAGCGGGAAAAGGTTTTTCCCCCAGAGGGTGTTTTGGGAACAGCTCCCCAGGGCAGCGGGCACAGCCCCAGCCTGCCAGCGCTCCCGGGTACAGCGTGGGACTCTTGGGGTGTCCTGCGCAGGGCGAGGCGCTGGGCTGGGCCATCCCTGGGGTCCGTCCCGGTGCAGCACANGGTGGTGCAGGGGAACGGCACCGGGAGCAGTTCCGGGAACTGTTCCGGGAGTAGCCCGGCTCCGGTGGGTGCCCTCCCCCCGGGGCCTCTGCGGGGGCTGTGCTGGGAGTGCGGCCTGTCTCGCCTGGGGCCACAGGCGCTGTGCGTCGGGAACCCCGCCAGCTGTTGGGTAGGAGAGCTTAGCAGCGCCTATTAGGCAGGGGCAGCAGAGCTGGGAAATGGTTTGTTGCACTTCTTATCCTGGGTGCGTTAGGAAGAGCATTGCCTGTAGGTTGAGGGAAGTGATCCTGCCCCTCTGCTCAGGGCTGGTGAGGCCACACCTGAGTGCTGCGTCCAGTTCTGAATTCCTCAGGAATGTGACACATGGAGCTCCAGCAGAGAGCGACAAAGTCGATTAACGGACTGGAGCATCTCTTGTGAGGGCAGGCTGAGGGAGTTGGGTTTGTTCAGCCTCGAAAAAAATATTTTCCAGGCAAGTTGTGGAGTCTCCCTCACTGGATATTCAAGGACCATTTGGGTGCCATCATGGGCCAGGTGCTCTGGGATGAGTCTGCTTGAGCAGGGGCTTGGGCCAGATGACCCACTGAGGTCTTATCCAACCTGAGCCGCTCTGTGATTGTTATGTGGTGCTTTGGTGCTGAGCCATGACATAGACTGGGAGATCTGCCAGGCAGGCATGGAGCATGGAATCCTCAAGTTGGCAGTGACAAGTTGGCAGCTCAGGACTCCTGAGATCCACACGGTGTTTCGGGGAATGGCAAAGGCAGTGCTTCTTTTCAGTGTAGATCAGGTACCCTGTAGGGACAGACAGGAGATGCTGCAGCCTGAAGGGAGAAAAAGAGACGGAGGTGTCAGAGAGACATGGGACTCTGTGTTGTGCATTATATGATTTTTCCTCAGGTAGTCAGCTAATGGCTTGTGATGGGGTTTGGGTGTTTTGTGCTATTCCAAGTACACACCCAAGCCAGTAGTTGTGCTGGTTGTAATGATTTGTCAAATAAAACCATATTGTCGGTGTTTGCCAGTGAACTCAAATGCTGATGTGATAATTGCAATTATTGGAATAATCTTCTTCTATGTTCAAAATAAAGAAGGAGCTGGCCAGCAGTAAGAAGACCACAGGACTATTAGACCTAGCTGTGCACATGAAGAAAGGATGCTGATGGATGCAGGGAACAAAATTATTTTGTATGCAGTGGTGATGACCGTTGATAGTATTTATTTTAGTAATCAACAGGAAATCCTGTGATAAGGTTTCTCCCCTCCTTTTGTTTTGTTTTGGGTTTTTTTTGTTTGCTTGTGGGGGTTTTGTGTTTGGGGTTTTTTTGTCTTTTTTGGTTATTAGCTGTGGTTCAGATATTGAATGCTTGAATAGCACCTGTATTTTCCCAAAGACCTCTTTCCAAAGAGAAAGCTCTTTATCCCTCTGCAGAGAAGGCTAATTCTTGACTCTGTGCAAGTCACAGTGCAGCTTCCAGCAGGGAGTGTGGGATAGTGCTGACAGTGGTTGTGGCATATCACGTGATTGAGGCAAATTCCAGTTTGCCTGGAATGACCTCTTTATTTCATGGACGTTGGGTGGTAGGTGTTGCTGGCCATGATTTTCAGACTGGGCTGACTTATCCTGGAGTAGATGAGGTAGAAGCTAGAACTGCCCCAATTCCTTAGCACTTCTCTGAAATACGGAGTCTTCCAGGAGCAGTGAAAGGAAGCGGAGCAGAGAATGCTGCTCTTGCCAGAGGCAATGCCTGGAAGCAAAGTGGCTTTAGCATGTCCTTGTAGTGGCTTTTCTGCAAGACAGTTTTCTGTGAATCAGAGGTGCTCCAGTCAACTGTCCCTTGCATAGGCTTCATTTTAGGAAGGCTGGCTGATAAGTTCTCCGGATACTTCATTATGTTTGTCTTGTCTGAGTAGCAAAGCTGGGATGCAGAGGGTGCCTGATATATCCCTGTATTCCTCGGATGCTTTGAATGGGGAGGGGGAAACAGCCACGCCTCCAGAGCCCTGAGGCAGAAGAGTTCCTGTGGCATTCCCAGAGCAGCACAGGCTGCTATTCTTAGCAGCTGTCCTTCTTCTATCACTCCAGATATTTAAACTGAGTTTTAAATCTTCATTCCTTCAGGTACAAAGTGCTGTTCTCTCATCTCAGGAGTTCATGGGCCAGAAAACTGAAAGCAGATAATTCCTGGGAAATACTCCAGAATCTGGCTTCTGGGTAATACCAGGTGACTGTGGTCACGTCAAGCTCAGCTTGGTGAGTGAAAGGGAAGGGTAGAAATTGGGGGGGTGGGGAAGAATAGTATTGAGGTAATCCTGAAAGCAAGGCAGACTTTTTTTATAACACTTTTTTAGATTCAAGGTAATGTGCAGAGGAAGAAGAGGATTATGGCTGAAATTGTTATGTTTCCCATGGCTGTGGTGTAAGAGATTGAAGGGGATCATTTTTATCACTCAGAAAAGCAATTTCTGTAGCTAATCAGCTCTGCTTAGACCCCTTCACAAGATAACCTTTCCCAGAAAATAGTCCATCCATCCAGGTGTCATTTTTTTGGCTCAGCTTTTCATCAGCTCCTGTCAATCAGGCCACTCTGTAGGGATATTCCTTCTAGCAAATGTGAACAGACTTGAAGACATTCCTTATTTAGTGAGTTCCCCTCCTGTCATCTTCTAGAAATGCAAGCATTGCCTTTGCTTTTGAATGTATAAAACAGGCAGGAACTGGTCTAGTTGCTGGTTTGATTTGGTTGTTTCCTTAACTGAATGTCTAAGGCTTTAATACCGCATCTGGAGCCTGGAGGCTGTAAAACTTCAGAACTTTGGAGCAGAGGGTACTGAATGTGGAGGTGAAAACCAGGACATTGCAAGTTATGTTTTGTGGCAGTGGTTAGATCTGCAGATCTCCCTCTGCAGGAGGGTAGAGCTCATTTTGCATCAGAAAATGAGAGGGAAAAACTAGCTGGATTTTTTTTTTTTTTTTTTCTTTTTTTGGCACGGTGTTTGTGGATGTAAGTATTGCTGTGGTCTGATAGTGAGAAGCTCCAGAAGTTCTGCAAACTCTACAGCAGCATTCTGGTTAGCCAGGTTTTGGAATTCCACTGTTTAAGAGAACTTTTTGCAGAGAAATGGCTCTCTAGAGGACTTCGCATATCCAGTGGCTTCTGTGTACTCCAGGCATACAAAACAGAAGTGCCCCCACTTAGGAAATTGAAGCAAGAGCTGTGTCTGGATGTTTGGGACGAGATTTTCAACTTCAGTTATGATGTCTATGTAGTAGGTAAAGCTAAGCTATTTGTTTAGGCTTCCTTTGTAATAAGTATAAGTGATAGGAAGAGGGGGCAGGCAGTTAGCAGAGTGTTTATGGTCAGTTGTATATGCTGCCCTGGAATCAGATCAGTTGTTCATTACAGCATCTGATTGTCTCCATTACTGACGAGAGTCAAAGGTGGCAGTCGCAGAGGGGGTCATCTCATTAATTTTAGTTATCAACATCTATCTGTCAAAATGAGCTTTATGTATCCAGCTGAAGGAAATAAATTTCAGCCTGTGCTTAGAGGACAGGGCTTTCTCAGCAAGGTGATGCAGTGAGGGAGGCTGCCTGTGCTTCACAAAACAGAGCTCTGTGTTGAGGGGAAGGATTGTCCTGAAGACAGCAGTGGCTTAGAGGGGTTCTTAGCTTATGGAGCTGGCAGGATTGAAGTGCACCTCTAAATTCTTCTCAGTCCCTATTTTTCAGATTCTCTTTGAAAAAAAAAAAATAAAAATAATAGCATTCTCTCTTCTGGCGGGTCAGTATAATTTGTTGTATCTAATCCATCTTTAAATGTCAAGTATTTTGCCAAGGAGTTGCCACATGCTGTTGTAAAGCTGGGCTTTGAGATCTCAAATTTTGTTTCCTTCTCTTAAGCCTAAGTGGAATATGTCAGTATGTGACAAACCAAGAAATCTAAGTGGCTCTGAGTGTTTGATAGGGTAAGGGGAAGTCTCCATATTTCACCTTTAGTAGCTGCCATAGCTACTGTTTCTTTTGAAGCAAAGTGTCTGAGCCAAAGGTGTTTTTAACAGGCTCTGGCTCCTTCAGAAGGAGGTGCCTTAACACTTTCAGAAGCAGATTTTTGACAGGCCAGTGCTTTTCTTTAGGTAGTCCTGCCAACTGTCAGGCTCCTCAGTGCTCTACTGCTTCTGCAGGGCCATAGTGTGATTTGAGGCTGATTCCTTTTGAAAAGGTTTTGGCTGTTCTGGTAGTCCCATATCCATAAGCAGTTGTGGGAGCAGGAGATGCCCTGTAGGATTCATTTTCTACATGGACTTTTTGTTGCTGGTGTTCTTCTGAGGTAATGCTGTTCTGTAAGGATAGCCTGAAAGGTTAAGTAAGTATCCTCTAAAGCTGGAGGAGAAGAGCGGAAATGGCTTTTACAGATGTGGCTAAAGTAACCTCGTGATGTAGGCTGGGCCTTGGTGTGCTCCAGCTGCTGAGAGGGAAGGAGAATGATGGCTTCTCAAGCTTTTCACTTTCCTGCACTTGCTGCCAGTTTCTGTGTCTGGGGGAACTCCAGTTTCTCAGTTTAATTCAGTCCTTGATAGTGGGCATGGTGGGACAGCTGGAATGGAAAGTTGTTTTGTTCCAGAAATAGCACTGGGACGCCAAATCCCAGCTGATGCCAAACACTCCAAAGATGGAGAAGCCCTGCTCTTGTCTAAAACAGCTACTAGAGGTCTTGAGACCAAAGCAGTAACATCTACAATGGAGTTTGAGGGTGCTACTATAAGAGACATCTAGTAACATGAGCACCCTGGTAGAGTACAGCCTGCCACGGGGCCTAATTAGGGTTTTATTAATGCTTTCTTTCATCACTAGCTTCCAGACTTCAGATGGTGATTAGACCTATTTATAGGGGCAGAGTTCCTTAATATTCAGCACAGTGTACTTCTTGCCAATCAAATCAGTAGCACCTGCATCTTTGATTGCTGCTTAATAACGCTGTAGAAGATGGTTTATTAAAAAATATAAATAGACTTTTCATCCTCTTAACTTACCAAAGTGCTTTTCTCCCGCCCCCACCTTGCTTCCCCAAAAAAAGGGTAAAGTTGGATTAGCGCGGGGACTGGTAAAGCTCTCATCTCACTGCTGGAAATGCATCCTGCTCTCCTGTCCAGCATAATTACCTCTTGTGTGCTCTGCTGGAGGACTATATTTCATCCCCTCCTGTGAATGTCAACACAGGGCAGAATGATTGTATGCTGCATAATAATAGGACTTGTATTTAGGCTCCTGTGCTGCGTTTGAGTGATTTCTAGCTTTTGTTTCAGTGTCTACATCTTTGTGAGTGTGTGCACACACACTGCCTTATCCTGCCCCTGAACAGGAAGAGCGTATGCAATGACCTGTTTTGCTTTTCTGGTTTTTCAAGTCTTTTTTTTAAATGCAGTTCTCTATTTTTGCAGCTGATAAACTCATAGGTGTGTGCTTTATCTGTGGAGGGCAAGGTGTTACAATTAACATTTTGTATTGTTCTTATTTTTGCCTTGGAGGATTTAATTCTGATACTTTGTTGGGATAGCCTCTAGGCAAGCCTCCAGAACAATCAAGGTATGGCTTGAATATGCTAGCAGATTTGACCATGGGAAAATGTTTGTCCAGGTAAACGTGGTAGAAAGTATTCCATGTAAGAAATTACTCTCAGGGAGCAATTTGGGATGACTTCTCATGGTTAACTAAGTTACGGATGTGACTTTCCTCTGTTAGAGGAGACAGCACATTCCGATAAGCTATGCCCAGAGCCTGTCTACTCCATTTTTTTGAGTGTGTTTGATCTTAACCCGTGGTTCATTTGTGGCTTGGTCTGTTCCCACTTTGGAATCATACTGGTGGTAGTGGGGTAGTGCTGCGTGGTGAGGGATATACAGACATGTGTTTTATTGCATATTGCTGATCTCTATGTCCTTACAGATGGCTACAAGACATTTATTAGGATCCTTTTTTTAGGATTTTAGGATCTTTTATTAGGATCCTACAAAAGAGAGACGTAGGGTTAGAGATAGCCTGTCACTTCTTTTTGGAGATGTTACTGCCTGTGGGAATTAAAGGCCTCTAGTTCTTGCTGCCTTTCCAGTGCAGTGACGGAAGCAGCAGCACAGTAATTGCTAAAGCAGTCATTGTAGCTTTGAAGTATACACACTCATTTTTATCAAAGTATTAAGTCCTCCTTCTCCCCTGAGCCTGCTCTTTTTAGTTTCTTGAAACACGGTAAGGAAGCAGATATTGGTGGCTTGCCTTATTCTCCCTTTATTTTCACATCAAAGTACACTTCTGGTAAGTGCTTGTATATAGGTTTACATTCTGCCTGTGTTAAGGGCAGCCAAGCTATTTTTTTAATATTGTCTTGGTTTATGTTACTTTGAAAAATTGAGATATTTTTAGGTTGTGGGGTTGTTTTATTCTTAGATAATCATCCTAATGTTCAATCCTCCATAGAGCAGTATTTTCTAAAGAACTTAGGGAAGTGTTGCTTCTTTTACAAGCTCTGTTTGCTCTGTAACAAGTTCTTTTGGGGTTGCCTTAACATAAGAAATTTTATTCTTATGGAGAGAGGCGAGCAAAGCAGGTGGAGTTTTTCTCTACCTATCCAAAGCAGTGAATTGTATACTTCCTTTTTCAGGGGCAGATCTCCACGTGTCCCTCAGACTTGGCTGTGGTGTGTGAACAGTAAGCCCAGTTGTTGGTTCCAAATGCCTGAAAACCCTGGAGTTCTCACCCTGTATCTGTCCTGGTTTACGTCTTTCGGAAAGGTGGTACAGTCTGGTGGAGACTGTTTCCCACTCCTGCTGTTTCCCTCAGCTTTTGCCAGTGTGTGTTGGAACTGAGAGCAAGAGAGCAGCTTTGAGTGTGGATGAATAGCCACCAGCCCTGAGGAGCTTTGGACAGCTTGCCTGAGGTGAAAGGCACAGACAGCTAAAGGCAGAGTGCAAATCTGAGCAGTTAGTAGCTCTAGTCAGAACTTCCAAATCAGGGCATAGCACTTAGAAGCAGGTGGTGCAGTGAGAAAACAACCTTTTTCTCTTTGTTTTCACTTTAATAAGGTAAATGAGTTTATTATACAACAGCAGAACATATTTATCTTGATCATGAAAGTTGACATAGAAAAAATTGAATAAAAGATGGCTGGAGCCCTGAGATGCTGCAGCTCTTTTCCAGAGCCTCTTTGATCACAAAAAAAAAAAGCTCTGTGTTGCTGTTTCTTCTGCTTTGTGCACCCCACAAAGTGACTACTGGTGGTCACACCACTAATGATTAAATCTCTTGGGTGATCTGACATCTGTTTTTGAGGTTCATACATTCTTGGGACACATTTGTGTGTCCATTTCTCACTATTGCATCAGAGTATTTCATGTCAGCTGTCATAATTCCAGCATGCTGTACTTCCTGGAGAAACACACCAGCTTCTTCCATAAGGTTCCAGAGTGATACTGGAACCAGTTTGTTGCTTTGCTGGAAGTCCCTTCTATATGTAAGATATAAGCAGTTTATTTGCACCTTTGCTGTTCATGTTACATGAAGGCTTGGCATCCATTGGATAGGGTAGAAGAGTTGATGTATTTTAATATGCAGAACTCACTATTTTATTTTTTTATGTACTAATTCTGATAGTGGAGCGTGGCAAGAAAATGTGCTGCTTCCTTCCCAGTACACTGGAGTTTGAGATAACGGAAGAGTCAGTTTTACCGAGTGATGTTCAGACTTTGCTTTCCTTCCTGGCTTCTACTGGGAGTATTTTGAATTTTCCCTTTTAAAATATTCCTTATTCCTGAAGTCTCTCTCTGTTGTATAAAGCAATTCTCCTTTTATTCTAACCATGTGGTGAGGCACTTACTCAAATTGTTTGTAAAACTGACTTATTTCTCCAGTTAGTTTAGTTGTTACCTAAGAGGTAACAAATAGCAACTGTAACATGGGATTTTGCCCGTCTGGTCATTTAGTTGTTGCTGTTTTCCCTCCTCCTTGCTATAGATTTCCAACTTGTTCTGTTGCACAGAAAGAATTATCTCTTGTATCTGTCTCTGGTGATAGTTTCCAGAGTCTACCATAATTCTCCACTGTGTTTTTTTATAGGAAAGATAAGAATCCGAAGCTCATTTGAGAGTCTTCATTGAGAACCTGTGAAGGTGATGTTTACCCACAAACTGCCAGTGTGAGCAGGAGCACTCAGGGATTTTCCTGCTTTGGCCAGTACTGGGTGCCACTCTCTTTGCAAGGGAGCAGTGGGACCTGAAGGAGAGTCTGTAGCTTCTGACTGCAGGGAAAGAAATGGTTTGGGAGTAGCTGGAGGAGTGCTGCTCCTGAGTGAGAGCATCTGACAGTCAGCAACTGAACTGAGCTTGGTTTTAGAAGGGACACTAGGAGAATTAGGATTGGTGAGAGTCTGAGAGATCATATTGGGGCTGTATAATCTCATCTGGCCTCAAGAGGTGAAAATCTTTGCTTTCTCAGGATTACCTTTACACAGGAATGGTTTTGATAATGAAGCAAATTTCAGAAGTTTCCTTCTTGCCCCTGCTTCCCACTGTGCTTCATGATTGGACAATTACAGCTGTTTATCTGGCTGCAGTAAATTGGGTCATTGAACTGATTTGAGTTAAAAATAGGCATCCCAAGCATCAGCAGCACTGATTTGACCAGTGGCAGGGAGGATTATAAACTTCTTTTGCTGCTGGGGCTAGAGTAACTCATAACCATGTCCTTGCTGTGTTATCTGGTCACTTTATTCCATGGTGACAGTGAAATAGTAGATTTTAAAGGAAAAGTATTGAAGCTTGATTGTGGTCAGCAGATCAAAAACTGCTGTCTCAAAATTAGCTGTACTCCTCTCAGATTAGCTTGCATGATTTACAGCTCTAAATAATAATTTCCTGTCTGCAGAGTAGGCCCAGTCAAGAAGACTAATCAGTGTGCAAACATTGCCACTAAAGAGTGCAGATACAGAGTCTGGCTGCCAGTGATGCATGAAATGAAACAGAATAGGTCTAGGCTTCCTAGACTGGCAGGAGAGCCAGCTTTCTAATGGCTGGGCTTGATCTTGCAAATGTGTTAACTGTGGGAAAGCTTCTACTACGTGCCCTTATATGATTCACTACTAAACATCCCCACAAAAAAAAAAAACCAAACCCAAAACAACTCAGCAAACTCCACATCCCAAAAGAATACCCGGAAATAAAAGCCACATCATATTTACAGAAAGCTTTTCCTACCCTACTGTGGTATCATCTTAAAGGAAAAATTTGGAGAGGGTGGATGGTGTTTTTTCAATATACAGAAATGGCTGCAGGCAAGTCCAATCTGTTATCTCTTTGTTTTGTGAAGCAAGATAGGGAATTGAAAGAATGTGTGATGACCCCTCTAATTTTCACATATTCAGCTGGTTTTTTATGTTGTGACTATCTCTCTTCAGGCTCCTGATCTGTGAATTTTTCCAGTATGGACTGTGTTTCTATGTTATTCTCAGCCTGCACTGGTTGCACACAGCACTGCTCTCTGAACTAGCTCCTGCAGACTTCCAAGTACCAGAGAGGGAATGTGGTGCATCCTGAGATATCCCTGTCTGATATCTTGGTTTTTCATCCTTCTTTGTTTTGCTTCTCCTCAGCTTGATGAACATTTTCTTATAGATGTATGGAGCTCTGTGTGATGAAACCCTGTAATAAGCACCTGTAAACTGTGTGGTTTTTACAACCTGAATGAAAAGAGACACGGACAAAACACTTTTGAAGGGAGTTGTATAGACCTAGCAGTAGATTTTGGATTAGAAAACTGTATGGGTACTCTAATCTGCTCATTCTTCACGGTGTCCTAACAGTAACGTATTTGTGAGTTTGCAATTTCTAGTGTGCTCAGAGAAATGGACTTTTTTCTCTTTGTTCTTCCAAGTCCCAGGAAGTCTTTTGTTATTTTTGTGAGTAAAGACATGGGAGGCAAACTTTTTAGGAATTGCTGAGAGAGAGCTGAGCAGGGCTCAGGATGGAAACATGCATGATGGGTGACCTTCTCCTGGCTGAGCTATGGAGCAGTGGTACTGGCCCAGCTGCTTCCAAAAGTGTGCATGCAGTTCTTGTGTGTGGCACACAGCTATGTGGCACACAACCAAAACGTTTTGGTGACTGGTTAGGTTTGAGATGTGAAAGGATTCTAAAATAAGGAGGCTTCTTTCGAAATAGTTACTGAGGAAAAATCCAGTCACCAGAAGCAACAAGCAGCTCCTGGGAGTCTCAGAATGGAAGAACTCTCATTAACCTACTTGGAGAAAGGGGGTGTGTGCCCATACATGCCTTGTAATTTCATGGCTTCTGTTCTTGGAAGGGCCTGATGGTGTGTTTCTTGGAGAAGAAGCATAAGATGAAATACTGCCTTTTGCTAATAGGGTTGGTTGACCTGAAATACGTCCACGTGGAATGTGAAGAAAGGGAGATGGGGACAGAGTGATTTCTGACAAGTCTTGTTGCCACTCTTAACTGACTTTGCTTCTAAGTCTGGTTTTTGTTTTCAGCACTATACTGAGCAGAGATTTGTTAAGTAGCATACTAAAATAAAATTATGGTTTCCAAGAACATTCAGATAACCAAGAGATTCCCACCTCACTGTAGCTGCCTTGAATGTATCAAAAATCCAACATGTCAGCCTTACTGCTTGTGCCTTTCTCCTCAGCTGACCAATTCTGTTGCAAATGCTTTCCTAAAATAATTAGTGGAGCAGAAAGGAGAAGGCTCTGAATAACTGCTGTGATAAAATGGCAGTGTGTTTACTGTAATGACCTATTTGTTCTTTTCCTTAGGTACAATGGCTACAGTAGCCCAGAAGCACTTTTTGGAAGGGCAGACATACTCAGTGCCCCTGATCCAGCCCGACCTACGAAGAGAGGAGGCTGTGCAGCAGGTGGCAGATGCACTTCAGTATCTGCAAAAGGTGTCAGGCGATATCTTCACCAGGTAAAGTTCTCTCCTGAGGGGTTGGGTGCTTAGCATTCAGCATTACAAGACAGAGTGCTTTGATTATGTTGTAGCAGTGAAAGGACATTGTGTTGGTAAGCAATGGGAGTTCAGAAAAGGGATGAAAAAGGACCAGACACACTTCAGTACAAGTTTATTTGATTCAAGTCTGTCAAAGTTAAGCATAATGAAATGGCTGCAGTGAGCCAGAGATTGTTGGTTATTAATTTTTCATTCAGTGGTAGACTTCCACAAATTGCATTACTGCTTCTGCTGCACTTATTCTTTATTCCTTCTTGCTTGTGTATTAAAGGGGAGGCTTTGTTTTTTAGAGTGTCTTGAAGATGCATCTTTTTGAGTCATTGTACTTGAAGCAGTGAAGTAGAAAATGTCTCTTTGTTCTGATCTCTGCAATGTACATACTGTTCCCTTTGGGCTTCTGGTGTTCCACACTTCCCTTTTCGTGTGTTGGAAAGGCCGAGTACCCTGAGTGAAACTGGGTTTCTTGCCACAGTATCACAATCTGTCAAAGTCCATCTCTTCAAGGATTTGGTCCAGACTTGGCACCTCTTGCATATGATCATCTTTAGGATTGGATCTATAAGACTGTCTATAAGGCAGATCAGAGAGATTCTTGTGCTTGCATACAAATGATGGTGGATAACGTGGTGCCTTTCTCCATCCCATGCCATCTTTGACATCTTGGTGCTCTGAGATGCTGTGTAGTATCACTGGGAGGGAAACAGATCAGCATCTATCTTCGTATAGTCTAATTAGTAAAATGACGTGCTTTGGTTTTAGCAGGTCCCATGGCTATCTAGTTTAATTTATTACGGTGTGAGCAGGGTCATGACTTTGTCTTTCTTTGAGTTTTGGAAGGGTTTTTAAGTGTAGATTGAAGTTCTGTGGTTTTTGATAGTGATACTTTGAAGGGTAGCCTCTGGAGAAAGAGCAGTCTTTAAGGCTGAGCTCAGTTTATTGAGGGAAATAAAGGTTTCCCACTGGAATAGTCTTTGTGTGGGCAAGGGCTCTGTGTGGGCTGGTTTAGGTTGAACACAAGGTCTACTTCATTTGTTCCCTTCAAAGTAGGGGAACACTTTGTGATCTAAGGTTGGGAGAAGGCTTTCCAGAGCTGCCATAAACATGTGGAAAGCACTTTTCAAACTTAAGCCGGGTTGGCAGTTCTGTCCCTCTCTGTGGGCTAAATAAAGCTCTTGGTAATACAGGAGTTGCTCTTCCTCTGTCTCTATTTTCCCCTGTTTTTCTTCTCCTCGCTGCTCTCTAGCACAGTACCCTGTAATTTCCCTAGGGAGACAAGCCTGCTGCTTTGTATGCGAGTCACTGCCAAGTACTGAGCAGTGACTGTGATGCTGTTCCCTCGCTCTTTGGTGCACTCATGACTTTTAATTACCAATTTTCTCCAACAACAGAGGAGGCTTCATTGGCTTCTTTGTTTGCTTTGCCTTTCCAATGAGGTCTTGGCTCTCTGATATAATTAGGAGCGATTTAGTAATTATGCAGGCATCTGATTAGAAGTTCCATGACCTTGGTTGTTCCATGTCGATCAAGGGGCAAAGTTTTCAAGGTGAGAACTTTGCCGCTTAGCGAAGAGTGACCTTTTATATTCCCTTTCCTGAGATAAGGCAGCTCTGTCTTCCATTTCCAGGAAGGAGCTGCCTTGTCTGGGGAAGCTGACTGTTTTGATCTGCAAAACAGCAGCTTGCAGTGTTGATGAAGAGGAAACTTGTTCACTGTGGGAGACTTGGCTGAGTGTGTCCAACTCATTACTTCAGTACTACAACGATGCAGATGTTCTGAGCTTGTTTTATGGGAACAGGTGGATTGGTACAGCGCTTTTGAGAGTGACAAGCCAATCTGTACTTTGTTGAAGGTGGAGTGAAAGTCCACAAGAGTGAAAGTCTCTTACTCTCTATGAAAGAAAAGGAATATTTCCACGACTAGATCTTTGTTTCCATTTTAGCTAACCAAAGTTTCTGCTCAGAGTTGTTGCTGACATGACAATTGAGTAAGAATTCTTAAAATGAACATGTTGAGATGACACAAGAAAGATACCTTTCCATTTTGGAAATTAGAAGAAAATACAGGGATCTTTCCTTCTCTTGCCCCCTTTTTGGGCAATTTGGGAAATAACCCATGTGACAAGTGTCTGCCAACGTCTTTTTTCCAATCATTTTCAAAGTAGCTTACTTTCTATTAACTGTGGCAAGGTACTTGGTGAATGAGACACTGCAGATTTCATTAGTTCATAGATAATCGAGGGATTATCTATGCAGGTGCAGGTGCAAAACCACAGGTAAACTATGGCTGAGACCCAGAGCATCCCCACTGGGCCCAGCCTTTGAGCACAGGCCTGGACTGCAGTCAGGAATCAGTTCGAAGGAGCAGGATACATCAGCTCAGCATCCCTCTCCATCATATCCCTAACCCTCAGAAGCAGAGACCCACCTGACTTTTTTCACATGGGGAACATCAAAGCTCTTGGTTGCTGGGCAGTACAGATTGGTGTCTTAAGCCAGTGCTGTCCAGCAGTGCTTTCCCCTGAGGAAGTCCTGCCCTCTTGGTGTTGATACCAGTGCTGTGACAAGACCAAGAGAGGCTGCATGTCCTTCTCAAGTTTATGCTTTGAAGTAATAGAAGTTTTAAGCTTGTGTGTGTTAACTGAATCCAAGTCATTAATCTGTTGTAGAAGCTGCAGTAAAGATCAGATTCACTGCCTGTAGTTCCTGAGATATATTGCTTAAAACGTAAATATTCTAACATAGCAAATCTGACATAATATCTGTTTGAATTTAACTCACGGGCTTTTAAGAAAGATTTTTGATACAGGTCACAGGGGGTGGGATGACCAGTTTAAACCCCCAATTAACAGTAGTCTTTCATCTATTTGTTTTCTCACTACCATTTTTTTCTGGGTGTGAGTTTGCGTTGGAATCACGTGCTTTGGAATATTTTACAGGAATGTTGTTGTGACAAGTACTTGAAAGAGGTGATGAGTTTAGATTTTGTGGTATGCCCCCCTAGTTAGGTAGGCTTTTCCTTTGGGATTTCTCAATTTCTGAAGAGTTTGTGTTCGCAGAAAATGTTAATAATCTCTGATATTGTCCATTTGCTGCTTCAAGTGTTCACTTCTGAGTAATAGCTGTGTGGAAAATTGCTTTTGCAAGTTAACTCATGGAGTGTTACAGTAGTAGAAGGAAATCAAACACTTGGGATTGGGAGGTTGTTATCAAGCTCCTGGTTTCCTTTGCCTGTGATCCAATCCCAAGTTGTCCAGTGTACCAAATTTCCCATCCATTTGTATTTTTTTTTTTTTCAGTTTATGGAATAATTTCTGGTTGTTACTTTTTTAAATCTTTATTCAGTATCTTTTGCTTGTCTGGAATAAATCTTTGCTAGACCAGTGTCTCCTGTTTCCTTCCCTGTTGGATTTGAACTAATTTCTTATTACATATTTGAAAAAGGCTTTAATATTAAGCAAAAGTTTAACTTGGAGTGGCACTTCTGAGAAACGTAGCTGTCAAACAAAAGCACTGTGGAGATGCTGTTAGGGGTGGGGAAGAAATCTGGTGAGGCTGTGATAAGGAAGGTAAGGAGTAGCTGGCTGGGCAGCAGAGCCTTAAGGGATGTTTAGGACAGGAGCAGAGCTGAGATGTGAGAAGTTCTGAAATTGAAAATACCAACAAAATCTTAATCATGAGGTACCTTTGGGTGTTTCAAAGCCCTCCTTGTTTTAAACTTACTACTGTGATTAGTCATGATGATCAATCATGAAAATGGGGGACTGAATATATCAGTGTAAATGTATTTAATTTAGGAGGGCTGTGGAATGCAAACTTGCCAAGAAGGGTCTTGCTGCAAGCTGTACTGTGCTCTTCGTTGTGCAGTGGGGCTCTGGGATGCAGCTTGGACATTGTATTGTGTTTTTTCCTCTGCTGGCTGCAAGGGTTGCATCTTTGTAGGAAGAGAGCTGTCCACTGGGATGGCTCACCATGCAGGTAACTTTACACCAAGAGATGCGTGGTAGCACAGGGAATCAATTTTTCTCCAGTTAATTTGAAGGTGTTACGACTCTTGTTTAACAACAAGGTGCCTCATGGCACTTTGAAGTTGTACCAGAGGTCATCTGAAAGAGGGTGCTGGGTCTAGTTTAGTTTCAGATACCTCTCTTGAGAGGCTGTAGGAGCAGTCATTTGCTGCCAGGAAGATGAAGAAGGAGCAGTGAGGTAAAGAGTGAATGGAATGTCCTGCAGACATGAGGAGATGGAGTACGGGGAAGACATTTTGCCTGCAGATAGTTGTTATTCTTGTATTCTTGTATGGCTAAGTAATGTGGATTTATTTTCCTTTTGAGCATAGCACACACTTTGTAAGGCACCATTCATTTGTTATGGCTGCCACGATCCTCTGGAAGCTAACTTCAGCAGCTTGTGAAGCTGTAGCTTCAGAGTGGTTCCTAAACTATAGGAAGGAGACCTTAGGAGGTGACACGAGGGTGTGATCAGCATGCTTGGAAGGCTGGGAGCAGCTGGCACTAGCAGGCATCCTACACCCCCATAGAGGGGCAAAAAGGGAGTATGACTGTTCTGCAAGAGACCAGGTCACAACTCTTTCTGAATGCTGCTAAAATCCTTTAGCTTAAGATCTTCTGGGATCTGATCTGTGCAAAATTGCAGGAGAGGTGATCTCCTGCTTCTGAAATTAGTCTCAAACCTGCTAAGCAGGCAGGAGGCACGCAACAATTTCAGACTTCAAGGAACTCTTGAGAAATTCCTTTCTGCTCTTACAGCAGTAGTGGAATATCTTGTGGCAATTAGAGGCAGTTTGCTTTAAAACAGATGGCATGTGCAATAGGAAAGGCAGACAGCAAGGAGAAACTAAGGTAGTTTCAGTACATACGAATTGTTGATTTATTTTAGCTTGTGGGTTTTTTGAATGCTGTCAAGGAAGCCTCTTGTTTGTTCCCTGTTCCTTGTTGGAGA